TGTCTTGTTTAGTGAGAGTTTTTTTTTTTTTAAAACTCTATATATATTGTGATTATTTCCTAAAAAATACCGTTAAATTGAAAAGTTAACAAAATGATAAAGAGAATACAAAAATAATAATTTAATAATGTATAATACAGATATTTAGGTTAAAATTATAAAAGACAATTGACTTTTTGACATAACTTATAAAACAAAAGAATAACAGAACACTAATGATAAGTTTCGATAATGGTCTGCAGGAAAAATTTGCTTCATTTTTTGGGCCAGGGATCACCGCACAAGTTGGTTAGTCTTAACCACATCTAATGCCTCTGTTAAGAGATGTAAAATCTTAAGAGATTTTTGAGTCATTCTGAACTTTTGGATTCAGGGAAGGGAGAGAACGATCATGTGTACGAAGTTCGACTCATTTCCAACGCAAGCTCCGAAGGGTCAAGTTCATGAAGTTCATGAAGATTCCATCTGGTCATGTTTCTGATCTTGTCCTGTGGAAATTTTGTACATGTTCAGATTCATCACGGATTATACACTTCTGAATCAGTATAGAACATTGGAGAAATAGGAAGTAACGCAGATGGTAATGGAAAAACGAAATTGCCATAGAATTGAGCCATTTTATTACTCTTGAGAATTTTTTTTTTTTTTTTTGAACTCTGTAACTATATGCAGACTACATGCAAAAACCGGTATGTATTTTAAAAATTCAAATTTGATTAAAAAATAAAATAGCTGGATCATTTTAAAATTTTAAAGGAATTAAAAAATTTTTAAAAGTAAAAAAGCTCGTGTCTACAGTAAACGAACTGTTTCTTTTTTGAGAGTTTTTTTTTTTTTTTTTTTAAATGTAAAATAAATTATTATAATTTTTTCCGATAAAAAAATTAAAAATTTGATTAAAGTGAGTGCTGATATTTTTCTCATTTTTTATAAAAAAAATTATGAATTTATTTAAATATTTCTTTGATAATTTAGTTTAGAAAAAAAAAAAAAAAAAAAAAAAGAGATACCAACTAAAAAGGCAAGGGAGACAGAAAAGCTGTCAGGCAGACTTTGATAAAAGCAGAGAAGAAAACGCAGCAGATCACAAATTACTCCTACGAACTCACCAGAACGCACGATTGAATTGAATTGAATTTAAACCACGGCATCTTCTCCTTCGATTTGGTTCCCCACACAGCCCCATCACCATCTCCGTAAACAAGAAAGGAAAAAGATAAAAAGAGAATCTCTTTAAATATTATTACCCTCAGTTTGAAAAGCATATTCATTTTGAATTTCTTTTACCATTGTCTTGGCCTGATACATAAAAACTAGCATCCTCTCAGATGAGGAAGAAGAAGAAACAAATTAATGGTCTTCTTCTTCTTTCTTGGTTTGTGTTTCTCTCTTTGCCTTTTCTTCATCCACGACAAGCACCCACCTTGCACGCTCCACCTGCCCCTGCCACCACCACCATCTTCCTCCTCTTTATAATTGTCTATCTCCCCTTTTCTTTCTGTTTCTTTCTCTTTTTCTTCCATTTTAACCTGCACAACCCGTGTCATTCCAATACGTATATCAGCATCCCATTTACCTGATTGCTTCAATCTACTCTTGTCTCTCTCTCTTTCTCTGTGTTGATGACCAGTTTCGTCAATGTCACGTGTTTTGCTAAACTAAATCATGGCAACGATTTTCTTTCTCTGGGAGATGATATAAATTTTGAATGAATTTAAAGAACAGAAAAGATGCTCGGGTCCAGCCAAATTGATTTCCCTTAAAACTACTGTCCCTCAAATTTTTAGGCTGGGTCATATCAGATACACCTAAAGTAGCCTGTGTGGTGAGGGTATATATAGGGGCAAGTGCAATCTAACTGTAGCGGTCACCCTGAAAGACACGAACATTTTCCAGATAGAAGAAGAATAAAGATGGGGGGAACAAGGGAAACAAAAGCAGCGTTATGGCACTTTCACTGAGAATCCTGACACGAGAAACAAGTTTACTTAAAGAAGCCAACATATGCATTCAAATAGTCAAAGCATCTCCTGCATTTCCACATAAAACAAAAAGAAAAGGAACACGAGCATGCAACATCACTCAACATAAAGATCGAAAACCGAAAAGCTTCATAAGCAACTTCCATTTTTGGGATTGCTTTCATCTCTCTCTAAAAGTGTTTTTTTTGCACTTGGACACATGCATCACACATGTTCTTTCCTCATCTTTTGAAAATAGGGTTTTTGAGAGATTAAACATATGAAATCTTCAGTTTATTTTTTTAAACAAACTTAGAAATTTCCAACCAGTTTAATATCTTAGAAAATCTCAAGTACGATTAAAATAATAAATTTTGATTATTTACCTTAATAAAATCTGTTTCCTATGAGATTACTTTTTTACTCATACCAAGTACGAGGAACAATTATATAGATTCATGTCTTTATGCTTATAATGTAATGTGATACTTCCAACATATGTATGAAAATGTATTTTACTTCTCGTATTATAATAAACACTCTAATTTGTTTGGCACCTGCTGCTCGTAAGGTGCAAAATCAGTAAATCAAATAAATAAAAAGTCTCTAAAGGAGTGCATGACAGCACTCGATATTGCTTGTCAGGATTATATGGATTCCCAAAACCAAAGACATTCAAGGAAACAAGTATCTGTGGTTTAAAATAAGGAATGAGTAAGGAGAAAGTTGTTTTAGGGTGGCTTTGGAGCATGTGAATGTGAAGGAGAGAAGAGCACATGCACCCATTAGCCAACAGAGTTAAACCAGTCAGTCCCCCACCTTGGAAGGGCATACAACAAAGAAAAGAGAGTATATGGACCACCAATTTTATTGAAAGCTAGCTGAAGGGACCAATTGTGATGGACCTGTAATTAGTCCCCCACCTGCACCATAAATCATTTACATCATCCTCCCAAAATCCTCACAATCTCATCTTGAGATACACAATCACCACACATCACACAACCTATACCAATTCAAGAACAGATGTGGAATCCATTCCAGATTCTTTTTACTAGCATCTTATATATATATATATATGTATTTGAGTAGTACTAGAAGATAACTATAAACCCATCAAACCTAGTCTATCTCCATTTATGGTACATTTCATTAATTTTTTTGTCCGTCTAAAACTAGATATTTAAGAGGTCATTCGTGTAATTTTCCTAAATATAGAACTTTGCAACTGGGTCTCAATCAAACATTTTAAATCTGTGCTTAATTGACTAATTAATTGATAAACAAATAATTAACAAGTTCCTCAGGAACATACCTCTAATTCCTCTGCTGTCAACTTGGCGTTATAGTTGGGGGAATCACTGGCTTCTTCTTCGGATCTCTTTGGTGACCTCTCTATGATTGGAGGGGTAGAAGCCGGGCTTGGACTGCCAGAACTAATTTCAGGGGGTGTGCTTTGAGTCCCTACATCTCTCGTCGTCCCCTCCATTTTCTTCTCTGTTCATTTTTTTTTTTGAACACAGTCAACCACAAGTACAATCATGCATAATATCTCCATAAGTTCATGAAAATTGAAGTTGAAATAGAGACCTGTAACAGGGAATTCTTCATCAAAACCAGGAATATCACGGAGAATGGAAAGCGGCTTCGTTTGGATTTGCCGCGAATGGCCGGAGGGGTAAACAAGAGGAGCAGACATGGTAATTCTACTGGTTAAGTTGCGAAACGACCTCCCACTCAGCGTTTTGGCAGACAAACACTCCATTGGAACCTCCCCTGACAGAGGGTTACAGATGTACTTCTCTGCTTCGTTCCACTTGGAATTCAAAGCAAATCCGTCTGGCGATAAGCACTCCCAGCTATTGTAAATCGTCCTTGCCTGCAATGCTGCGCACCAATAAACCACCACCCGCCATAACTACTAATTCATATTACAACGAGCTCAAATCGCTCCTTCTCACAAATTTAAGCTCAAGTTGTTAATTGATTTCAACCCAAAGAGGAATCGCAATTCAGTAAACAGTAGGGTTAACTTTGAAGCTTAAACTGTTGAAAATCGTGTGTACTTGCCTTTTAATGCAGTGGTGAAAGAGTAGGTTGAAGGGTCGATCTCGTCTGCGAGCAAGATTTGAAGAGTTTTAGAGGAGCTGTAGTGAAACCTCCGAAAACCAAGTTTTGGAAGAAAAGACAAGAATGGCGGATGAGAGTGGGGATACCTTTTAAGGGATAACCAGGAGAGGAAGCAGTGCTAGAGATGGTTATACTTGATCTGAAAGACCTGGCGTCTTCTCTGAAACTTCTGATATTTGAAGCAGAAAACCTTCTTGAATTTGCATTCTCGCCGCCGATCATTCGAGCCTTGAACGCCCATTCTCTCAGATTGAACGTCTCTGCTCCTTCGTCTCTTCGTCGAGAACTACTGTGATGAAGTTGTTCCATGGCAACGGTAGACGCCATGAATTATTGAATATTAATTCTCGCCTATATATATATATTTATATACATGTACGTATATTACATACATATATATATATACACATGTGCAGGATTAATTCTCAATTCAAATATATATATATATATATATATTATATACTCTTTTTCATAAAGAAAACCAGAAAGTTTTACTGCTTTTTTATGCTTCTCAAAATCTTTTTGCTTTGAAATTATTTTTAACGTGTTTGTAAATTTTCAATATCATTTCCTGCCCCCACGTGGAGATGGTCTTTTTCTTTTTAATTTTTTTTTAAAAAAATTGGAATTTAAGATTGTTATTTATATAAAAATGGTAGTGTGTGTATATATATATATATATATAGATATTATGTGTGTTGTTGTCTTACCATGTATTTCAAGCATCGTACTTGGTCAAATTATTGAATAGTGAAAAGATAAGTTGAAGTGGGAGGTATATGCATGGATGAATTGAAGATAGGAGAATGGATATGCATGCATGCATGGATATTGGAGATGGAGATGGGGATGGGGGCATGCATGAAGATGAAGTACTTACGACTGAGACACGTGGGAAACTGAGAAGTATAGTGTTTTGATGAGGATATACTTGAAATGGAGAAGAGAGATGGGGAATGTGAGGTTGTTTTCAGACATGGGGATGTTTTGGAGGAGTGAAAGCAATGTATGTATATATGTTTGCCAGCAAAGCATGTGCATGTCATCATCTCAAACAAAATGATTTGTCTCATGCGCATGCAACGTAGGTTTCAAAATTTACAGGGTGGCCAACTAGGTTGTCAGGTCCCATGCAAGCTTTCATTTAAACCCTAAAAGCCCTTTCCTCCACACCCACATACGTATATAATTTTATGATGGAATCCTCCTCCTGCCACATGCGGCAATCAGCCATTTCCGAGAGGTGTTCTTGGCCTCCATGGACATGCCACATATCACAGTCACTCCCAACCTTTCTACTTTGTAATTAAGAGAAGAGAAGAGAAAAAAACAAAAAATGTAAATAGTAGAAGAATCACACTACTATTTTTACCCATATGTGTGTGTGTGTATATATATATATAGAAAATACTATATATTTTATTTTGAGACGTCAGATATCTTGATCTGATACAATGTTCGCTGGAAAGAACTATATCGAAGGATCATTGTCAGGAGCAGCAGTAGAGACAATGACCTTCTTATATCAAATCAAATCAAATCATCTCCATTTCTTCTAGTGGAAAACAGAGAGCAGCACAAAAGATTCATGAAAATTTCTGAAAGCCTTCAGCCATTACCTTCCGTCCAAATTGTTTATGGGACACCTACCTACTAGTTGTGGAAACCATTAGAGAAATTTTACTTCATTTTCCCATGCGGAGCCATCTTTCTCTCTGCCAAGAAAACTTCTCAAATTTCGGACACAATCCTACCAAGTTTTTTTCTTTAAACAAGAATTCATACATTATGTAATATTTGTACATCGATGATAATAAAACTAATATCACAACCTTCACATTTAACGCAACGGCATGTACAAGTTCCAACAATTAATTTCCGGAAAAATGTCTGCTGCTGACAAACATCTCTTAAGCTAAACATGAGACAGATAAATGATAGATATAATTTCAGGTCTCGCTTATTGTTTCCACCAACACCATCAAATCCCACACGCAGATGGTCTGTCTGCTACATAAGTTTCACAACTAAACCCCTCCTTTAGGATAATCAATTACTAGAATAGTGTTTAACAAAAAAAAGAAAAAAAAATACTAGAGTAGTGTTTAATGAAGAAAAAAAAACAAGAATAGTGTAAAAAACATGATGCATAAGTTGCGGCGTGAGTTTCATGCAAACCAATAGCTATCTTATGAAGGCTCAAGCTCTCTTACCTATCATCTTTGGTTAACTCCCTGTCAACACAAGTAAGCTGCAGATTTGGCGCCCCGCTTCAGAGAGTGGACAGAACAGCAAATCCAGACATCTGCAGCACATTCACCTTGCAGCTCGGGGAAGGTATGATAGGCGGCAGAGGCAGTATTGAGTTGTTGACTCTGTGACGCGCGTGATCGGTCATGATTATCTATACTAAAAAACATATAATATATGAACTACATATTAGTGTTGAAACAGTTAAAAGGAGAAGGAATAGATTCAAATGTTTGGCATACAATAACTCATTTCCATGCTTTAAAGAAGGCTAAAAGAATTCCAGTTTTTCCACCTTTTCCAAGATTACTACCTTTAAACGACACATTGATGGCATGAAGAAAATGACTCAAGAAACAATTGCTAATTGACTGATATCGCTAAGGTAACTTACACAACCCTGCATGTAGCAACTCTTAGGCTATCCTTCAAAAATGGAAATATGGTGAGTGTAGGGTAACATAGGGTCGCTTATGGTAATTACTGCACAGTGTTTGAAAGTAAGCTAATCTACTTTCCAAGATAAGACTAAGAACTAGATGAATCCAAGGCCACGCCAGCCATATGCTTATACTGTTTCAGCTTTCCAGCTCAGAGAATAGAAATAAGCATTTAAATTGTCAACAGCCATTTTGATGTTTCAGCCATTACCTGAGGGTAAACTGATGAAAGATACACCTATGTATAATCCTTTTTGCCATAGGAACGTTCTTGCGATATAATATCTTTGATCGTTGCATTAAGGCTAACTTTGTTCAATGTCCTATTCCATAAAATGAAACTAGAAATATAACAAAACTGAGACAAAATTAAAGGATAAATTGCAAAAATACCCTCTTGATCGTAACTAAAACAAATATCCTCATGTTTACGCAGTTATGTAAGCGTCCTTGTTTAGCAGCAGACTGCGAACACCTTAGATTGACCACATGACAATCAAATCAAATTATTGAATGACAAATTCCCCTCATTTCTCCAAACTCTACCAATCACCTCCTTCCAATCACTGAAAACAATCAACTAATTCCAAGCTTGATTAAGCAGCACCTCTAAAACCCCACGAATGGATTTTGCAGACAGATATAGAAGAGACCAGATGAACCGGACAGCACTTTGACAAATCTGGTTGACAAATAGATCCACCTGCCGAAGAAGCTCAGACAAGAACTGAAGACTTGAAAGCAAGTAATATCAGATTCAGGGGCAGATATGCACAAAACAGCCAAAGAAACAAAAAGATTTTAACAGAAAATCTGGTTGACAAGCATTTCACTATCTGAAGAAGACATAGGAATGTAGAAGGGACGGGAAGAACGGGAGAAAAATTTTCTGGATAACACACCACAATGGATTAGCTACACAACAAACTGAGAAACACCAGAAAGCAATTTAGCTGAAATTTCATCTCAGAACCAAATAGCCAACATTTTGATAGCCTCTCTCTCTGATGTAGAAAGTTCAGCACTGAAATCTCTTTGAGAAAGTAGATACTGATGAAAAAGTGAAACCAAAGACAACTTTGTAAAGAAAAGAATGCTCCACTATGAGACTTGCAGGGGCTTGAAAAGATGTAAAATCTCAAATAAAATGCAGAAAACTTGAGCCAAATCTTTTTTCTGAAATAAAAAGTGTGAAATTCTATTAACATGGTACCAAACAATCGGGGGTACCGCCCCTATACAAAAGCAACTTGAGCCAAATCTTAATCAGTAATTCTCTGACTATTATTCTCAAAGATGAGAGAAGGGTCCACATCAACTTTCTACCTTTTGCTCCCAAACTAGTCCCCATAGTAAGTAGCCCAGCACTGCCTGATATAGACAACTTGGTCAGTGAATTTTCCAACTCACTTTGGCTCTCTCACACTCACCATAAACATAAAAAATCTCTCTTCTTTGTCGATTCTCCCTCTTCGTTACTGTTAAGCTACCAGTGACTCTCCTGTCCTATCTCCATGCTCCATGCTCTGTCCCGCAAACCCATACACAAAAATATAGGAAAATCCCCAGCTCTCAGCTGCTTTTTCTCTATTCCTTCACTCACAGTTCAATTCTATAAGTGATTTCCCTCATGCTCTTTCTCTATTCCTTCACTCACAGTTCAACTCCTTCAAGTGATTACCCTCATGCTCTTGCCATTCTCCCTGTTTTTTCTTCAAACATAAAACCCAGAATGTGAAACAGAGGTGAAAGATGATGGATGGGTGCGACTAGGAAAGGGGTGAGGGAATTTCTGGTGGCTTTTGGTGTCAGAGGAGGTAGCTAGCGAGCTGTTTGATTTTGATGAAGAGTGCAGCTACACCATGCTTTCTGGTGCATTTGGTGACTAGTGGCAATTTAGCCAAGGAAAAGAAAGATGAGGACGGTGTTGGGTTGGTAATAAGGTGTGAGAAAGGAGAGAAAATAAAGAAAAGAGCCCAAAAGGGATCTGCACATTATCAATTTTAATGTTGGAATATTTCATGACAACTAAATTCACTTAGTTGGAGTAACCATAAGGGTTAAGAACCTGATCTAGCTTTTACAATTTTCAATAAAAAAGTATAATAATGTCATTGCCTAAAAAATAAGAGGACGTTTGAATTATATTTGTAACTTATCCATATTAGACCAAAAATTATATTCTAATTTGATTTTCAGTTATGGCCAAGTGAATTCGTGATTCCTACCGAGTCAAATAGAAATAGAAATCCATTCCCATTTAACATCGGAGTAAAGTTCATCAATGTTATGGGCAATACTATGGTTTATTAGAAAAAGCAAATGATTTGTTCAGTGGGTGAACAAGTGTATTCGAGAGAATAGGTCAATATGTGTTGTATGTAAAATGAAGTGTTAAGCATGGGCATGTGTATTAGAGGGAATAAGTCTAGATAAGGACAAGGGAGTAGTTAATCCTGAAAAAAACTTCTAGACAACTATCCTTTCTCCTGTACAAGTAGATACTGTCTTTCTTTGACAGATTTTTAAACAATAAGAAATCTAGGAAAATTGTTAAGTACTTTCTTACTCGAGATTATTCGGTTATCTTTGAAGAGCCCATACTAATAACAAAATCCTATGATAAGATCCATAAATCGGAACCATAACAGTTAAATTGTGAATTAAATATGAAAATTATGATTATTGCTGGTGATAGGATGCTAACATATTGCAAAAGGTCAAACATTAAAGCTGCTCTGATGTCAACAATAAATTAATTCCAACCATACAAACCTTCTTTTAACACACACATAACACACGCACACGCACACGCACACGCACACACGAACCTTCAATGGCTCAATGTTCCCAGAATCTAGTGCACTGTAAGATGGAAAGAACAGAAGCTCATGACTTTGGCAGCATTAAGATGAACAAAATGTTAGCAAATCAGGGACTAACGCATGACCATCATCTGAAATTGACAGCACAATACAAGCATCAAATAAAACGTCAGTATCAGAAAAATACTAAATAACTAATTAGTTCATAAAATAAAATCCTTTCGACTCATTAAGACTTACTGTGCAAAAACATTGAACCAGGAACTCATTCAAAAGGTTATATAACATCTAACCTGGCAAGGAATAGATGTCCTACAAAATATTAAAATTTGGTCAAACTAGAAATCAGACATGGGAATGCAATAGATTTGAATGGAAGAACCACGTAAAGATTTCTCACTCTGAAAAATTGTGATTGCCAAACAATTTCAGGAAATTGCATACACGTATAAGCTTCCTGTTCAACAGGGAAAAAATATGATAAGCACGTGACTGATAGGATGTTTGAGGTTTTTTTTTTTTTTTGGACTTGCAAACAGTTTTAAGTACTTTGGTTCAGTGCCCCATTAGGTAACATAAGCATCTTCATTCAATCAGAAAACTATATTTTTTTCAAATATGTCATATATAGTTATTTTTTACATAAGAATCTTCATCCAATCACATAACTACCTTAAGCATATCTTTTGATGCTGAAAAAACAAAGATATTGATATACAGAAAAAAAGTGCAAGGGAATACAATAAGAGATCCTCAAAAGCCTACAAGAAGAATAAAATGGGAAAAGAAAACAGAAAAAGAATCAATATAGAACTAACAACCCAATCATGTTATGACAAAATCAAGGAGACATCTCTGAAATAGCCAAGCGCCTTAAACTACAAAGAAGTTAAGAAAGTCAATTTGTCCCAAAGAATATAAGGGAATTAGTGATCCTTGAAGCACATTATGCTCTTGATCATATTACCCATAACCCAACAAAATGAGAACATTTCCAAAAGATACTAACTTCCTTCTTAAACCCAACTCCTTTTCAGTCACAAATTATAAAACATTCAATGGAGAGAAACCACAATGCAGGAGAAAGTGACAATGGGATTCAGTATTCCTATAAATACATAAAACACATATGAGAAGAGAGTACGACTGGACCTAAGAGCTTGCAACAAGTCATCAGTCTTGGACCCGCGAGCTTCCAACAAAAATTTGTAGAACTCTCATTCTTACAGCTAAAAATGTGGATAAGATAAGTAAGGAAGTACTTACAGGTGTGAAAACATCATAAGTCCAACATTCAAATTCTACATCAGATTGAGAAGTATTCAAAATGGTTGAACGTATGTCTTATTGAATATCAGGTTTTTTAGAATAGAAAGAAAATAATTAATTAATTGCACATGATGTATCTTACCCTAATGCCTTTTAACCTATCTAACAAATAATACAATTTTTTTAGCATTCTCTCTCAAGATGAGAAATAGATATTTTCCATATCCAACTAACCAATAAAAGTCTCAAATATTGGATTCATCATGTCTTTGGTCAACACATCTGCTAGTCGTGAACTTGTAGGCATGTTTGTAATACATATTATCCCGCTGTCGAGTTTCTCTTCAATAAAGTGTCCGTCAAGCTCAATATATTTGGTTCAGTTATGTTATACTAGATTATATGCAATGCTTATAACCAATTTATTGTCATAGTATAAGCGCAGAGGGTTCTCCCATTCGATTCTCACATCTTCTATAATTTTTTTTAACCATAACAATTCGCATATTCTTGATCCATTATTCGAAACTTTGATTTTGCATTTGATCTTCAAATTAAATTTGTTTCTTACTTCTCCAGGTAACCAGGTTATCTCCAATAAAAGTACAATCATATGTGGCAGATCTTATATCCACCACTGATCTTACATAATCTACATCCGTATAAACTTCTAAAAGCAATCTGTCGCTCTTTCTTAACAAGAACCCTTTTCCAAGTGACCTTTTAAGTAATGCAACACTCTATAGGCTGTCTGAAGTGCATTTCTTTAAGATTATGCATGAACTAACTTCTAACACTTACTTCACAAGCAATATCTAGCCTTATGTGGGATAGATATATTAGTACCCCAACGAATCTCTAATACATCTCCTTATCTACTGTCTATCTTTTTGTCATTCTCAATTTATGATTGAGAACAATAGTAGTACTAATCGATTTAAATGCTAGCTTGTCACTATGTCTTAACAGGTAATGAATGCGAAGATCCTGGATTTTGAGTGGATGACTTCAATTTTAAAAAAGTATTTCAAACCTAATTCCTCAATTTCGACCTCTATTACTAGGCATTTGCTTTAGCATCAATTTTTCTTTCTTAATTATCTCCTGCTATAGTAATATCATTAACATATACTAAAATAACTGTAACTCCCCTTACCTCTGAGTGTTTGACGAATAGAGTGTGATCTACTTGAGTCTGCTTACATCCCAAACTTATCATCACCCTTGCAAGTTTGCTAAACCATGCTCTTGCAATTGCTTGAGTCCACAGAGTGCCTTTCCCAGTTTACACACTTTATTTGATCTTGCTTATCTGAAAAACTTGGTGGTATATCCATATAAATTTATTCTTCTAAGTCTCTGAGCAAGAAAATGTTTTTCATATTGAATTATCGAAGTTGTCAATCAAAGTGGGTAGCTAAAGACAACGAAATTCGCATTGTGTTCATCTTGGTTACTGCTGTAAATATTTATTGGCAGTCTATCTAATAAGTATGTATAGCTCTTTTCCATAAGTCTTACTTTATACCTCTTCATTGCGCAATTTTTTTTGTATTTGATTGTGAACACCCACTTGCATCCCAAGAATTTTTTTCCTGTATAAATACTAGTAATCTCCCTCATAGAAACAAAATCTCTCTCAATTTCCTCATTGTCTAATTCAAGTTGACTTGATAACTCCTTTTCTACCATTCACAACTTTATAAAAAAGAATCAAATTAGCATCAACCTCCTTAACCCTTTGATTCTAGACTTTTGCCTCCAACTATCTTCTTTAACAATGACCACCTCAAATCACTCCTCAAAGAAGATAGTGTATCTAGCTGATCCTCAAAAACATCGTTAGACTAAATCCATCCATCTTATCTAGGACAGCAACTTGCTCAAGAATCAAGAAGTTCTTTGAGCACATGTATTTCAACAATCCTGAATACCCTCTATAGTTGTGGTTAAAGCATCAACAAGAACTCTCCCTTCCAGTCTTTTTCCTTGAAGGAAATGGGAAAATGTCCGTGACAAGAAAACCACTATCATTGAAATCTTAGGGGCACCATTGACTTGTATTTAACAGTTACGGAAAACCAATATACCTTGACCCAGAATCAAAATACCATTTCCAGCAATAGGTACAGCATCTTGAATCTTCTCAGCGGCAAAAATTGCTTGAACAACTAGCAAAGAAACAGAAAATTCATGTTATTAATACTCAAGTTGAATAACAAAAAAAGAACTACAGAGCAGACGCTCATATTTCTGAAAACAAAGAGGAACGGTCCAAATATTCGTATCATCCATGAGAGAAACATCAGCAGAGAAGTGTTTGTAAATATGAATTTCAAACTGATAACTTAAATCAATGGGCAGATGTTTCAATCTAAACCAAATGAGATTAGAAAATGACAAATCATAACTGTAAACCAGCTGAATATAGTATGATAGAAACCTGATATTTGCATTGGCTTCTCTTCCCTCTCATTTCCACCATTTTCATTAACAATAGCATCACCCTCACGTAGAGCAACCATATGCAAGGAATAGAATGCATCCATTACCCAAAAAGTTTGTGCTCCTGCAAAACAGAAGCATCATCCTCTAATCACAATAATATTTTTACCTCATCCTGCTCTTTATTGATCAGATAAGCAAGAATGCCTAAATGCTCAGCCAAATATTTTTACTTTTTTTCTTCTACTAAGAACTTTAAAAAGTCAGGTATTCTTCAGTTCCAATGTTCCTCCTAGTAATACCAAGCCTACCAAACAGGCTAGTCTCCTGTAAACCCATCCTCTTGTTTGCACGAAAAAGAAATTAGTTTTAGAAGCAAGAAAGAAAAGATACATAAGAAGATAGGATATGCACCTATAAAGCCAAAAAAACAGAAAAGGACCAAGAAGATCTAAAATCTAAAAACAAGACAGTAACTCAATCCATCCCTTAGAACACCAATCTATCCCCAATGAGCAGAGGAGATTGAGAGCGAACTTAAAAAAACTACGTATTCTTTTCCAGCCACTTATAAGATTTCACTGAGGCCTTGAAGCATATAGTAGATGGGTAAAAGGAAAATAGGCAGGAAAAGAAAACGTTAAAAATCCTTACTTAAGGAAATTTCAGGAAGAACCACAAGCTTTTGCACCTCCATAATGTGAGGAAGCTGCCTCATGCTACAAGTCATGCTTGATCCTGAAACAGCATTAGCCACATGCAAGATGTGTAAATCTCCAGCAGAGTCCAGGATCAAGAACTGTTTTGGAGACAGTGCTTGGGTGGAAATTGCCTTCAGTGACATAAGTGGCCAAGTCTTAGATTTCAAGTTAACAATCTCCTCTTTAAATGCCACAAAACATGAACCACCTTCACTAGATTCTTGTCTGTATTTAGCTGACCTCCACTTTACTGCAAGTTAAGATGCACAATCAGCTGCAAAAGCCAGTGGCACGTCAAACTGTTTTCAGATATCTCAATGCTTGAAGAAAAACCCCAGAAGAAAATCCAAGTATAATATTAAATCAGATAATCAAATTTGGAAACACAAGAACCCTATGAGGATTTGATGAAATATATTAAAATACATAAAGCAAGGTGGATGACCAATAAAGTATCTATCACTCGCCATAATATCAAAGTACATTATATTGGTTGATAAATATTAATCCAAAAATCCCCTAGCCAGGTGAAGTATCTATCACTTACCATAATGTCAAAGTTTGTTATATTGGTTCATAAAATATTAATAAAAAAAATCTCCTAGCGAAGCTTGAACAAGAATTGGAAATTAGTTTATAATTTAGTTAAGCTAATTGGAAACTCCATCAAGAGTATATATGGTTGAATAACATGGGACTTCACGTGAAAACCAAATTCCAGGTCTAAGCGACAAACCGTAGCGCAAGTGATTCACAATGTCCCGCTCGCCTACATGAAATGGGATGAATCAAATCAATAAGTTTTTTGGCTGATTCAGGGCATAATGAAGCCAAATTCAACCAAGGTGAAGGGGACTTACTTTTCTAGGCACTAACTCATCCTATTCAAATTTAGTTATGCTAATGGAAGGGGAAAATTTTGAAGATGTTATGCACCCCCAAGAGACGAGTGAGAACCTCCAATTGCTTAGGGGTTGCACTTTGTCCCGCTTGTCGGACGAGATCTTCTCTCTTTTTATTCCTTCTCCTACACACCTTTTCCCTCTTACACCAAAGAGAAAAGAAGAATCTTCCAAGAGGACAGAGACCTAAATTTCCACTAGGTTCATCCCTAAACTTGCTTTGGCATAGCAAGATGATCAGTCTAAGAGTATATAGAGAAGAGAAAGTGGTAAAAACCTCTTTGATTTGGTCACTATGCGATATATTTTATTGGATGATAACTATAGAAAGATTCAATAATTCTCAAATCATACTAACTAGATATTCATGACATGATGCTAGGTGTCAATCATGGAACTTAAGCTCTCAGGATTAATTATAGAAATAATTCATAACAATCCTAATGGATCACAATGAAATTTTTTTGGGCGAAGGACATTGAATGGAAAGATCCTCTTTTAGCAAGTGCAATTTAGTGATTAGTTTTATTTGGACATGAAAAAGGCTAAACGATGAAGTGCTAATCATTAGAATGATTATTCTTGAAATAAATTTAGGCCACAAGTTAATCATGCTGAGAGTTAATGCATTACTAGAAAATGTTTCTAACGAGTGTCCAGGAATATTGGTGAATTTTCCCAAATTTGAATTAATGTATACTTCTTGATGGAAAGAGCGGCACAAATTCAAGGGACTTTAGCTATCATTATGTAGGAACACCCTCATACTGATATAATAAGCTAAAGCTGGAGGAGTTCTGCTAAAATAGCACAATGTACCTCTAACTAGACTTCATTTAAGTAGGTCCATCACAAAGCTACAACACCACAGCATAAAGCATTGCGATGCCAGGGTCTCTTTGTTTACGAATTTTCATTCACTTAATCATAAATTGCTTAACAAATGATGATTAAAATTTATACTTAACCTAGCAACAAAATTTTTTAAGTTTCATATCCAGCACAATACCAAATCTCGAAGGAAGCATAGAACTAAACAAACTTACCAGATACACCCTGCTTCCCAGTCTTACTGTCCAAATGACCATTGGAACCGATCTCTGAATTCGACCCACGTCCATGAACACTATCCATCGTCACCCCATTTGGCAAACGCATTCCTTTACCCTCCAATTTTCCATTCAAACTAATATGACTCTTCATTTTCCTCACCTTCCCTTTCACCAAATTCCTCAAACTCCACACCCTAACTCCATTCTCTTCCCCGAAAATCAAAAAACCACACGAGACGCTAATAGACCAAACCGGCCTAGAACACTCGATCACAGCACACTTGATCAACTTCACCGTTACAACTCCACCATCGGTATCACCCTCGTCCAACAATTTGACCCCGAAAACCCAAATCTTGGAGCTCGAAACAGAATACAAAGTGAAAAAATTGATCGACCCAGCAATCTTGATGGAAATCCCATGATTAACATTCAAGAAAACGCCAAGTTTCTGATCAAATTCAATCCCTCTATGATTGCCAACAACTCGAGCTCTGGTAAAGCCCTTGTTATCCCTCCACAGAGCATAAAACCGGAGCAGAACCCGGGAGCCACCGCTGTGCGGACCGCCCACGATAAAAAGAACACGCGGGGACGACCCATTAGTGGGATTCAGATTAGGGTTAGGATTTTGAGGGCGAAGGAGGAGGAAAGTGGAAGAAGATGAGGGAGGAGGGATTAGGGTTTGAGGGGGAGGGAGGGAAGAAATATAAAGAGGCGAGGAAGAAGGATAGAGAGAGAGAGAAGAGTCAGAGTGCATAAGAGCCAAAGAAAGAGAGGTGGGTTCAAAGAGAAGGGAAGAGATTTGTGGAGAGGAGGAAGAAGGAAGAGAAAAGGCAGGATTTGTAAGGTTGAGCTTTGATGCCTGGACAACTACCATTAGAGACACCTGTGATTTGTTGTTGTTGTTGTTGTTGTTGTTGTGGTTGCATTTGATGGGTTGAGACTTTGGATTTTAGGAGGAGGAAACAAAGGTGCAGACTGGATTTTGTGATCCGTGGGGAAGACGTTATGAACCAGATCGGAGATCCGAGGAGGGATAATAATAATAATTATTATTATTATTATTATAATATGGACAAGAAGAACAAATTAAATTAAGATCATTTTTTTATAATAATTTTATTATTTAATTATTTTAAACTTTTTTATTAAAAAAAATAATTATTACACCACCAATTAAAAGACATCAAATATTTATATTACATATTTAATTTATGGTATTTTAATTATAAATTAATCTTTAAAAAAAATTAAAAAAAAAAAAAAAACTCTCTCATTTCCACGTGTTTTGGGTCAACACACTTCCCAGTATTTTCCCAAATTAAAAAAAAAATGTATAATATATTTACACGTATGGGAATTATGTTCTAGTGCATCGCGGTCTATAATACCATCCCGCAGTAACCAATCAGCTTCTAATACTAAATCGACAAATATAATTTTTATTAAAATAATCTTTTGGGTCTGTTTGGGAACAAGGAAAAAGCGGACCAGGAAGCGGGTATTTTATTCTCGTCACTGGGTGTACGGACGGACGGGGCATTTATTATTCCTGCGCCGAGGAAGAAGGAGATACGTTTTACCTACCACCAAATTGAAGTCCAAAAGCTACGCCGACCAACGCTGCACTTGAGTCTCCCCCCCACCCTCAAGTCGTAGTAAAACGGCGTCGTTTGATTAAAAGAAATATATAAATTGGTATTATATTAAATTTGAAATTTCAAAAGTTTTCTTTTATACGGTAACAAATTTATTTCCAAAAAATTAAATTTAATGATATTACATAAATAAAATTAAATCAATGTAATTGCTGATAACTTAATTATTAAATAACAGGATCTTAAGTGACAATCGAGTTTCCCAAAAACAAGAGAATAATCCAAATTCTACGCGATTAACACCATTGATTTAACCACTAATCACCACGATTAGTGACTAATCGGTGTAATTAGTGATGCAGGCGTGAGGCTCACAAGCTTTAGCGGCTGGGCTCGGCTCGACATGAGGAGCCGGCTCCACGTGATTCTTTCCCACCAGCTCCTCCGGCAGCTCTTTGATCCCCTTGAGATAAAAGGTGTAGAAAAGCTTGAAAGGGAAAATAATCTGCTGCAGCTTAACCTGCCCGGAAACCCCCTCAAAGATTCCAGACCCACCAGTCACCGCCAGATAAGTGTCCTCGTAGGTCAGATACGACCCCTGCACCGATATGTGACCGTAGTCTCCGAAGTAGAAGCTGTAAATCGCTTCGTAGCGATCGCCCTTCTTTTCTGGATTGTTTTGGATCAAAACGCAGATACCAGCTGTTATTCCAATGCGTTTCTGCAGGTCTCCACTGTAAATCTGAAATTTCATATCAAACAGAGGTGGAAGAAGATCAACAACCTGAAATTTTCTTTTTCATTTTGTAGCGAGACAAAAAGACTTAAAAAGAGCGGATGAGAGGAAGTAAATCGTTACTTTGTTGCTGAAAGGGACTAGATCTCCTAGAGAATTGACAGGTTTTTGGCTCAGACGAAGGTAAGCAGGGCTGGAACGATCTCTCTCGTTCATCTCGTACACGCGAAGCTCTTGTACTTTACCTACAAGACAAAAAAAAAAAAAAGAACCAGAAACGTATCATTACTAGATCAAAAAAAAAATCCCCAAATTTTGCGATCGAAGTAGCGAGTAAAATTACTCACTGGACATCGATTCATCAGCCCTAGTAGCTTCGCTTTTGCAAGAGAATGATCTTTTTGGTACGGAGGGCGCGAGAGCTTTGAAACCTATGGCTTGAAGGAGAGGTGATGGTTTGTTGCGATTGAGAGCAGAAACTGCGATGGTTGATGGAGAAGAAGAAGGTGTTCTTCGGGAAAGCAGTTTGATTGAAGAAGAAGAAGAAGAAGAGATTGCCCTCAAAGCAGTGGTTGAGCTCGCCATTGCTGGTTGCGCACAGTTGAAAATAAAAAGGTGGTGTTTGGGAAGAAGGAAAATAAAAAGGTGGATGAGAAGACGGGAAATGGGGCTGGGGGGGGTTTTATAAGTAAAAAAGTGTGAAGTCACATGTTTTGTGTGCAGTGCAATGAGTGAATATTCAAATCAAAAGAAAAGGAAAAAATTAATATCATAAAAGCAATTATAAATTTATTAAATATATATATATTTGTAATTATTAATTTTAGTATCTCAATTTAGATACTAACTTGGTCAGACCACTGTAATTAGATTTAAGATTAGTCTAATTTGATTTTAACTAAAATCTAATTACCTGTGGAGACGAAAATTAGGTGGTCGGTGACAAAAGAGAGAACCAAAATGTTTTGGAATCTGTCTCTTGGTCGGTCAGTTCTAGTCTTTTAGACACGTGTTTTTTTTTTCTCTTCCTGTTGACTAAATTACCCACGCAGATCTGAAATCTTTTTTTATTGAATGATGGGTGATTAAATTAATCTAAGTACACATTAAATTGAATGAAATCATTAATCTCTGGTAATTAATTATATCATTTTCTACAGTTTAAGTAAATTTTAATGAGATTATTAGTATTAATTTGTAGGTTAAATTTGAAATTTTCGTTCCTTTTTTATCCTACATTTTTTTAGTTTCATACACAGCCCGGCCCATTTGTGGGCGGTCCAGTTGGGCCGAACCCGATTGAGCCCAAAAGCAGGACTGATTTTACAATCTTGACCCGGTTCCTACCCGCCCAAATTAATGGGCTAATTGGGCTTGTAGCGTATATGGGCAATGTGGGTTTGGACCAACTATTAAACAAGATTCTTCTATATTTGAGAAAAAGATATATGATTAACCAAAATTCTCAAACATAATCACCTTGATTAATCTCCTTACTAGTATATTATTAGTGTAAGATATACTAATAGTATATCAATTAGAAGATTTAACTGAGCTGGTGAATTAAACAGGTAAATTGTACTTAAAAAAAATTATACCCAATAATTGATGTACTTAATCAATTAATTTAGGTTTTTAAGTGCTAATAATCATTATTAAATTTGATACATGATTCTCAAAATCTAATAATTCACTTCACTTATACATACACATACCATCGATTCGCAGGCAGACCCAGATGCTAAGTATACCACTTCCCGAGACTTAGGGTCAAGAGATTAAACAATTAGCCTCGATTAATTACAAAATTAATGTTTGCTAATATGGTTATAATCAGCCTGAATAATCAAGCCTCAATGCATTGAACCGTACAGTTTAAGAACGTACCATTATTATAACACACACACACACACAAAAAAGAGAAGAAGAAAACACAAGAATCTTCGAATAAACCAAGACAAAGATTACGAACGCTAATCAGAGTTAATTAATGATTGGGATTAACATTAAACACGGAGTCGACAAGGTTTAAGGCACTGCAGCGGGGCAGATGGTGAAGAAGGTGCAGCAAAAATCAAGGTTGTCTGGGTTGGAAAAGACAGGGAGTGTATGTGTCACGTGCGTGTCACGTGGAGACTGGTTCCTCTTTGTAATTTTATATTGCTTTAGGAGCAGGAAGCATTACCCAGATATTTAGGGACAGCAACCTGGCAAACTTTTGAATTCTACACTGTCTGCTTTCAACCAGATAATTTCTTTAAGTTTTATTTTCATCAATTTGGATCGTTCTTACTGCTAATACTTGTGGGTTTGCTTTATATATATGTATATACACACACACACACACACCAATAATATTGTTAGTTGTATGTAGTCGGTGCCTCCTTTCTTATAGAAGCCATAATAATTTCAATTTAAACTGTGTTTTTATGTATGATAAAACGTGTATATATTTGTATATATACATACGGACCTACTAAAATTGATATATTTGGGACAGACCCATGTATATATATATATATATATATATATATATCTTGAAATGAGATGAGGCTGAGAATTGTTTGCTATTTCTTTTGGAGTCACCCAACCCCTCATCTACAAGCCACAAAAAAACGTGTTTCTTCTTTTCACTAATTTTATTTTTTGATTCGTGCCGTGTTATTGATTTTTAGGTGAACAGTGTGTGTGTGTATATATGTGTGTGTGTATTTAAAAGTTTGTAAGAAAGAATTGACTGGCATAAAAGGTGGAGATTTGGTGTCCTGGTAAGAGAAAGAATCCAAGTAGAAGGAAGCTTTGGGGGAGGACCCCCCTTCCCCTGCCTTTGGAAATAAGGGAGAGAAAATGTCTGATCTTGATGGAGAAAAACGAGAGAAGTCGCAACCCTAACATATAGGTATGCGTGATAAGTATATATAATTATATACCAATATCACAGAGAGCACGTGGAAGAAGAAATCAAAAGGGAGGTACATATTATCATAAGTGTAGTTAGATATATATATATAATTGTTTGACATGCATTTGAAGAGTTGCAATTTCCCAAGTGAATTGGAGAAGTTGTGAAGCACAAGGAAAAATGTTTGATCATGTCTGCTTAATGCTTGATTTTGATGGGAGGAGTTGTTTTTTGTTGGGTTTAATCCTGTCATCATTAATCACCACTCAGATTCATGGTTACAGTGTATATATATATATATATATACATATATATTAATTACATTTGTTAGATTGATATTCTTATTTTTGCTTAATTTTGGATTGGGTACAAGAACAGTGCGTGCGAGTCGGAGTTGCAGAGATGTTTTGATAAATAAATGATGGCATCATTTGTGCAACGTGCAATCAAACTGACATGACACACACCTTTTTTTTTTTCTTCTTCTCTAAATCAAAAATAATTTTCTTCCCTAAAATCTTAAAATTTAAGGTACAATTATTTAATTGAAAAAGAAAATTGGTGATCGGCTTCCTCAAGGTTTCATCAATGGCCGACCAATTATCTCGGGTAGGTAGATTCCAGCATTAAATTTTTTGTACAGAAACACTGACATATTGAAACACCCACAAATCTATACACACATATTTACAGATACATTTATAGCTATATACATATACACACCCACACACACACACACACACACATATATATATATAGATTTGAATGGGGGAGACGTATGGATTCGATAAATTGATGAGAGTTGTGGGGGGCCCTTATGGCATTTTGTTTGTTTTTTTTATTAAGATTGGACCACAACCCTCCTCTTTATATACACCCTTCTCTCCCACTCTTTCCTCTTCAAAGTTTCTCACACAAACCCATCTTCGTCTTTCACCTTCCATAACCACAACTTACTACTTCGCAGCTCAAAAACTATACACACAGCGTATAATCTCGCTGCCTCTGCGGACTAATCAAGAGATGAGACAGATGAAGATGATGGGGAGTAGCGAACATGGCGCGGCAGCTGTCAGAAACTCCAAGAAGAATAAGTTATCGTGCAGAAGACTGGGCGGCTACCTTAGACAGCAGAAGGGAAGGCTCTACATTATCAGAACATGTGTTGTCATGTTACTATGCTGGCATGACTAGCTAACACCTCCCAACCATATATATATATATATATGATTATATATAGAGAGAGAAGGAGGAAGAGAGAGAGAGAGAGATCCAAAGGTTTCTGG